AATTCAACTTGGAATGTTTATCTGCACTTCAGTTTAATTTGTATTTCGCGAAAGTTTAACAATGACAAATGGAACTATCTGTCGTTGAACGTTGTTGCTTTATTGGTAAACTGTTTGTACTTAATTGAGTTATTTCTGGTCAAGCAGAAATTCTTCGTAGAAGCACTGAAGAAAAATTACAAAATGAAGATGACCAAAGTATTAACATTCCTTGTCCGTTCGAATTGATGCACGTGGCTGCCTTCGAAGAAGAACAACTCAGCTCAAAGAAAACAAATAAATGTAAAAGGTAAGTCGTGCTCTTCTTTACGTTCAATACAGTATAGAACCATGGAAAACATTTCTTATCTGTTTCAACTGAAAACTTTATTGAGCTTATTTTGATAGACCTTGTCACGGTTTTCGACGCCATCTTGACGAGTAGGCAAACGCGTGAGAAATTACAGTGTTTGTATGAGAATCTAATTTCGAATAATTTCCCTAAAACGACTGTTCTGAAAAAACAATATGATTTTTAAACCAAAGCTTCACTCCTAAGGATTCTACTGAAAAAAATTTGAGGGCGTTACGTTCACTAGAAGACCTAGAACCACTTTTTAAATTTCCTATACATTTGTCTGTAAGAAAGTCCCGGGAAAATTACAGACAAATATATGGAAAATGTAAAGCAAGCCTCTGGAGAAATTTAAGCACAGGTAAGCCTCCAAAATTTTTTCGGACGATCCTTTGCTTTGAAGCTTTAGTTTATAATTGATATTTTTTCAGAACAGCCGTCTTACGGAAATTATTTGACACTAGATTCTCATACAAAACTGTAATTTCTCACGCGTTTGCCTACTCGTCAAGATGGCGTCGAAAACAGTGACAAGGTCTATTTACCGACCTTGGAAAAGGTGCAGAAAATAGGAACAGGAAAATTAAGCGTAATCTAGGAAATTACCTGGTTAGTTTCTTCAGTCTTTGTTCTTCGTACAATTAAAGTTCTAAACATACAGCTCGCGAGGAAGTATTTTTTTTTGGAGGGGTTTAAACTTATGCTGAGGGTCAAACCTTTTTACAGCGTGTTTACAACGATCTTTTTTGGCCGTTACGCATTATTTTCTGGTGAACTTATGACTAATCAGGGATAATGAATTTCAGTTTCAATACATTCGTTCATTAAAGTTTGTAATTTTCTGGTGTGATGGGCACTATGACATTTAGAGGATGCCCAGACCCTCGGATCTCCCCCTGCCCCCGAACCCCTGCCGCTTCGGTCTTTTAGAAGATAAAATATGTTTCTAAACATTGATTACAATGAAAGAAAGTGATTATTTACCTGCATTAGTTCCTGCTAATTTAGCTTTGTATCTTGTGTGTGCATATTACTATCATAATGAAACATGTTACCAAAAACTTGAGGCAGAAGGCCTTTATACCACGATTAAAAAATTTTCAAAACTTTGTCAGAATGATTGAATAGTTGATTGAACACTGAGTATAACACTCTGTTTTTTTTTCACCGAATGTTGCTGCAACAAATGAATTAATGAGACTGTATTTTGATGTACTCCAGCAGAGATATTGAGCATTATAGAGCTTTTAAGGAAAAATAATTAGAAAAATACCATCTTTACTTCTCTAATGCGGTCAGTTTGTTTTAACGTAGCCAGCTCACTATTTAGTAATTTCTGCTGCCATTTTGTAATAAGGTTCCTCTTTCATTTCAATTTAGTTTTAGCCTCAAATAGACAACGCCATTTTCCCCGGACAGACCATCGGACTACACAACACCAGATCAGCTGGTCAGAGTAGACAGCAAAACCAGGTCACCATATTAGACCAGACCAAAAGACCAGTCCAAAAGACCAGACGATCAGACCAGGTCAACATACCAGACCACCGTCAGATCAGACAAACAGACCAGACCATCAGATTAGACCAATAGAACAGACATATAAACCTGCAGACCCCTTACCAACATCAGTCAGCCTCCCATCAGCAAAGCACGTCCAGCCCAACTGAAGATAAATAATTCTTCATTCAGGTCAGGTGCATTCTTTGTGGGTTGGGTTAAGGAGGGGGTATGTATGCTCTGGATAAACCTTGCAAAGCATACTATCCACACACGTTCGGCTCGAAATCTACGGACGTCTTATTCGGCTTAATTTAATTGTAGTTAGATTAGCTAGCGGGTTCCCTGGGCTGGTAAGGGCCTCCCCTTCCTTTTCATTTAGGCTGGGTTTCTTTGCAGGTATTCGATCAGCGTCAAGATTTCGGCTTCGTTAAAATTAGGTTCGGCCTTCGATTCGACGTCTTTTTGGCTTTTCTTCGACATCGTCGATCGTTGTCTTCGTCACCGGTCACCGTCTTGCGTCAGTCTCCCGCGTAGTTGCGCAAAAAAAGATTTTTCAATTACACTTCACTTGACAGTCAACGCGCTGGGTAAGTGAAGCTTTCATTCGCAAGGTTTAACCAGACAACGATTACTTAAAGTCCTAATTTAGCGCACCAGAGACTTTGGACCATTAAACTGCAGTAAGGGGACCTGATTTGGCCACCCCCTAACAGTTTAGTGGTTTCTCTGGTTACAGGTAGATAGTTAGTTAGCCTCGCAAATTTGGGACTGCTTTTCTCGACCAAAAAACGCAACACATTTTAAAGAAGAAAAAATAAGCTTCTGGGCCATTCTCCTTGTTTTTTTAAGGAGCCTAAACTTAAAATGCCAGGGTGACAATTAGATGTCTTTCAAAAATACATCAAAACGTTTTGTGGTTCTAAATTTGTGAGAGTAGGTTCAGAGTAGATAAGTTTATAGTTCTAGTCTTGCAAACAGGTAACGTGTGACCAGGCCTTCCTTCCCGTGAAGTGTCAGCGCCTTGTCACAGGTTACAACAGGGCAGTATGGGACAATGCACACACCCTAGGCTAGATCGTTTACAAATTGTAAGCGTAGGAAGTCTTCGAGACCAATCTACGACGCAGTTTCATCGTGGGAGGAGCAACATCAAGATGATAGGCTGTTAATAGAGTTAGTAGCCTGCGTAGTGGATACAGGAATGCTATAAGGATCTCGATGCTAATTCGGGAGCGCTCATGTGGAGGACATCTGTCCTTTGTCTGCGCGTCCCTGAATGCCATTCTTGTGTAAACTTCGCAGGTTATAGATAGTTTTCTAAGAGAAAGAGGCAAATAGGAGGATTCTCTGGCTATGGCATCGTTGACACTAAGATGACTGGGTTTGTCTTGTTAATTTTGTCTTGCTGGAGTATTCTTTTTTAGGAAGCCCTGCATTGCACTGCGTAGGCCCAGATCGTCTACAAATGGTAGGCGTAGGTAGTCTTCACGTCGACAGCCCATGGATAGCGGTTGCTTCGTACTTCAGGAGTGGTCAGCAGTTTTATAGTGTTGTCACCTCTTGAAGTACGTTAAGCGGCCAGCGACTGAGGCTTCAGCAACGTACCGCGCGCGCTATGGTGCACCAAGGAAGAGGCCGGCCGAAGAAAGAAGAACAAAGATCATCGGAAGCGATAGGTAGCTAGTGTTGTCAGTTAAGTAGGTCAGGTAGCTACTACTACAGCGATGAAGAAGACGACGAAACTCGGATCACCAAAGAAGATGAAGATGGTTCCGCTGGTTATTGCGCTTCGACGTCTTTTTGCGGCTACCCAAATTTTGCATTGCATGATGAAATTAAAAATCGTCACTCAAACGGACGCTAACGACGTCGTAGTGGAAATAACCTGATGGTTAGGAAGGAAAGGTAATATGCAGACAGCATATAGCAATAACTTTAAAAGAGCAGTTTGAACTGACATTGAAGTAAAACGCTCCGTTTAAGAAAACAACTGGCAGGGAGGGGATCGCATATGTAACAAAAACTGGGACCAAACAAGTGTTATGAAATATTCGAGGACAGAAACGATGAGACTGAAAATGCGGTTCTTCGATTTTGTCCCTTCTTGAATTCTTGGTGTTGAACAAGTTGTGCGTGTCTTATGGGTTATAACTCAATGTTAGTTGATACTGCTCCTAATCTTTAACATAACTGGCCGGCCGGACTTCATCTTCAAGCGGAGCTCTCAACTCACCAGCTGGACATTCCATCCACGGTTTTGTCAGAAACATGTTTGGAGCCTAGTTTCCTTGAAAGGAGCAGAGGATCAAGAACGCACTAAGGTGGTGGTCACTAGGAGACAGACAGAGTACAGCTACCCATTCAAGGTAGGGATGATTTACATGGTGCAGCGCCTGCTAGAGGCTGACGCCGAGTATGCAGAAGTCGCTTTCAAAAGTGAAAGAATCATGGGAGGCTGTGTTTGATTATCTTATTTGCCAAAAATTGTCTTAAACAGCCATATAGTATCAGGTACTAGTGTTTCTGTAGTAGATGCTACAAGTTCCTCCGATGCAGCACTTGCAAACGTTGCACCATTTCGATCATTCCAAGCTTAAGAATACCAGTGGCTTGAGGTAAGTGGTACTTGTGTAGATCGATGTTCTATGTACAGCCGCCTCGAATTCCGGTTCGGTTATCGATTTGATCTTCGGGCGTTTTTCGTGTTTCGTTTCCGGCGAATTCGACTTCAAACGGCCTAAAGGTTTGGTATCGACTGCCTCGATAGCAGACCGCTAATTACCCCCGCGTACAGTAGTCTGGGGAGCCCTGGGGTGGTTCATTCGATGTGTCAAGGTTTATAAGGACACATGAACACTCCTTGGTTTCCCTGGGCTCTAAAATTTTTCGCATAGGAGCGCGTCCCTTTTCTTACTTAACTTAACCTCTGTAAGTGTCAAATGGAATGAAATAAAAAGACTTGAAACTTCTGTGTTTTTGTGTGTTCTTTTTTAATTTATAGCCTATCATAACAATAGTCGGCTACTGACAGTACTAACAATTATTTCCTTTCCAGGCACATCGAATACTATTTGTAATATTGCAACCACGATAAGAATAAAACAAAGAAATAAACAAAGTTGTTGGTGTGGTTTTTTCAAAACTTTATTTTAACACTAATGACATGACAACTGTTTTTCTTTCAGGACGTTGCTTTCTAACAGCATATACGTGCGCGAATTGTTGTAATAGTTTTACTCTTCAATGAACAATAAACTTTAAAAAACTCAACGAGTCCGGTACTTTTCTTCTAAAACTAAACTAACAACCAAACAGTTTTATTTCAGGAACGTCGATCAGCCTTTTTTGACCATTTTCGGCTTTGAACCATCTTTTACTCTGGATAGAGTGGAAGAATATTTTTTTGGGGCGCTCCCTTTTTGCAAGATTTTGATTCTTTTCAAGATGTCACCTTGAGTTCGCCTTTCCTAGAAGAAACTGAAGATACATCCCGCACGATGTTTCCTCTCCGTGATACTTTCTGTTCTACGGTTTGGATGCGTTTGCGATCTTAGACGAAAAGCTTATTGTAATTTTGTTGCATTGAATGAACAATAAAATATTTAAAACATAGGCTTTGTGCTCAGTGTTCTTCTTTTAAAACAATACTAACAATCTAAATAGTTTCATTTCAGCAACGTCAAAAATAAACTTTCATCACGATTTCGTAATTTACCATCGTTTCTGCTAGAATGGAAAACATCGCACGACCACAATTTTTTTTGGCAAGCTCCATGAAGACTGCTTTTTTGTGCCCCTTTTGGTTTCGTCTTAGAAGAAACTTGTGTCATCCTTTTGGGCGCGCCCAACTCTCAAGATCTCGTAGAACAGCAACCATTGGCGAATTGTCTCAAGATCCTTACTTTTTGTACTGCACTTTGGATGCGTTCTTGAAGAAACGCGTAGCTCCGCCTTGGGAAAAAGAGTTAAGTCTCTTGCTGAAGGTAAGGAAATGATCTGTAGTTGAAAACCTTTTAACATCCAAGTGATATTTTTCGGCTTTCAGATCTCGCAGGTGACGTCAGTACTGGTGACTGCACTTCTCGGTTCTTTAAAAAGCAACTGAAGCAAATGGCATACGTAAGTAGAGCACAAACTGTAAGTAAACTATGACTCAAACAATGGACAGAGGAGTTGCTTAATCAAGAGGCTATTTATCTATCAACGTTGGAAGCGGACCATGTACGGATGATTTAATCCTCCATAGCTATCACACCTATTTGTACGCACAGACATACGAATCTTGATCCCATTCCAATAGTACTATGCAGACGACTATCTATTTATAGCAATTCCTTTGATACTAAATTGCTTTGTTGTAAGTTTGAGTTTATTACAGATGAATAGAATGTTTCTGAAAGTACCATATCCAGCATGCCTTCTCCAGTTTCTGGCGAGCCTCCTCAGGACGAATCCAAACACCCAATCAGAAAAGGACTGGAAGAGCAGAAGTTCGTACCTAATCCTCGTCACAACAGGTAAGCTTGGTCTCCCTTGCATCTGTTTTACGCTCGTCACGTAACGCTCCTCCCCTTTTCAATTGGTATAAAATCATAACAGCGTGTTGGGGAGGAGCGTTGCGTGACGAGACAAAAGCGACTGCGAGGGAGACTAGGTAAGCTTTTGTTTACGTTCAAACCCCTTAAGTCCCAAGAGTGACCAACATCAATTTTCTCTTAACAATTTCAGTGCATAGTCACGTAGAAAGGATATAAGAATTAATGAAATGATCACTAAAGAAAATATGCTTTGATCTTTTAACAAATTGTAGCCTGCGTAGCAGGTGCTTGGAAGTAGTGGGCGAAAGAAAGAACGGGCGCGTGCGAGGGAGACACGCGGGCTAAACAAATTCTCTCAACCAATTTTTCAATAAATGTATGGAGGCCAGTCTGGAGAATTTATATGTTGATCTTTGGGGCTTAAAGGGTTAAGGGTCAGGAATTTCGCAGCCTGAAAGTCTTTTCCAGTCTCTTCGCGGCGAATACCACTTTAAACTAAACGAACATTTTGGTTTCCTTTGATAGAGAATAAGTCAAAAGAGACATGAACTTGAGAAAGGTTTAAAATTTACATGTTACACAATTTCAGTGAAAACCAGTTTCTGTACACAAGTTCATAACTACGTGTGAGTAAAATTTAACAAATTTTTTTCTTCAAGAACAGTCACTTGAATACTTGATGTGTCATTTAAAGGCGATTGAAAATGACTGACCTAGAGCCTTCTCAATTCTTCTTAATTAATGCTAACGAAGCTGATCTCACAGGCTAATAAGTAACTCATAACCAGCAGTAACCTTCTAACGCTTGAAGAATTTTAGAAGTTCTGGGTGAGTCCTAGGCTAAAAATTGTTTTTTTTAATATTGAGAAAATGATAAGAAAGAGTTTCTTTGAATATGTACCCTTTTTTCTAATCGGCGTTTTTTAAACAATAGGAGCAGAGACAGAAGGGAATAAGTGGGCTGGTATCGACCACACCCTTTCTACTATCTATTACCTAACATGCAAAAAAGATTGCAGTGTCTTAGCTTTGAAACCTTCAAAACACTGTTCCAATTATTATCAACTGGTTCATTCACGCAGATTAGAAACGAGTATTACTTTTTGAGAAATAATGCAACCTTCCTATGAAATAAGAATTCGCGATTTCTTTCAGAAAACAATCATATCGATAGGAGAAATGTTTTAGTACCTCGGGTAAGGTAGATTTTACTTGTTGTCTTATATTAACCTATAATGTTCTGAGAGACACTACATTCTAGATCAAGCAAGATCCGAACCATGAGCAGGAACAATGACGTCATTCTCTATGTGACATGCATCTTAATGGACGTATCGACGAGATCACTGGGCGCCTATATAACAGAGGTGAGAGTTGGGACTCCAAATGTTTTTTTCCCCTTCCATTTGTTAATATGCCTACCTTGAAACATTCGGAGATGCAAATTGTTGAGCTTGGAATAAATGGTAGGCTTTGATGGGTTTCCATGGAAATCACCACCATCGTTTACGTAACGGTAATCCATCTCTAAAAAGATTAAAGAGAAGCCATCTCGGAAATCAGATGGTGGTGCTGTGTTTTGTACTTAAGATGGCAATCTACTCACAAGTATTAGAAGTAAACCGCGAGATGATTTTATAGATTCAAACCCATGGTTTCTTTAAGGATCAATTGGCTATTCAGTCAAAAATACTTGTCAATAAGTGGCAGGAAATTTAAGAAAATTATTTCTGGCAAATCCGAGGTTTTAGTGAGATTCAAGCGCATACACCAGCGCATGACGACACAAGAACCAGCAGTAACAAAAGGTGCAATTTAGCTCAATTTGTAAGCAGCCGGTTGAGAAAAACAAAGGCATATAATAAATTGTTTAAACCTAAATGAAAATATTCCCGTGCTGTTAATGCATTGTTCTCGAGAAGTATTGTATTTAGGTCCTGGAGTCAGTACCAGATGCTTGTCAAAGGACTGAGGCAGGATGTTCCTACGTCACTGATTACTGGCAAAACGTTGAACGAAGCTGCAGGATTAAAAGTAAGTTGGCCTTCAAGGCAGGTGTATTTTGCAGTGCGAACGATGATACTATCAATTACTATAAATTTTCTCCCGCCATCTTGGACGTTGAAACTAACAGAGTTAGGACGAGTGAAAAATGATTCCGAGGGAGTGGTTTACAGGTTGAAATAGCGGTGGGGAGGGGGAGGGGGATGAGAGGAACCCCCCTTGAACCTTTCGTGAAAAAACGCTTGCTCTGCAAGCTGAACAAAAGTCTGCTGTCAGGTTTCCTTCCATATTATGCTTTTATTCTCGCTTCCCACTGGTTAGTCGTGACTGAAAAAGAATATCTCAACCGTGCTGCTACTTTCAGAAAGCAGTGATTTGTTTTTATCTTTATTCTATCCAATCACATTCTACCACCTGGTACGAGTCTAAAATGACGGCGCGGGCGCAAAAAAAGGAAACTTAAGAGAGTTACATCCTTTTTAACTGTACACTTTTTTGTCTCAACAGCCGGCCAGGAAGCTGAGATACACCTCCGTGTGCACGTACAATTTTACAGCTTAAGGAACAAAGTGGATGTCCAATCATTGGGTGATTGTCAACACTGAATTTGTTTTAGACTATCTTGTCGTGTAGGATAAACCGGGAAAAGTTGAACTTGTATGAAATACTTAAGATTCTATGGAATATATAAGAATTTTATGTGAAAATAACAAATTTGACGTGAATGCCAAGTCACAGGGTAGTGAAGACGAATTGGATAATTATCGTTCAAATAGGAGAGGATTTCACTTTTCCGGGAAGAGTGCCTGTTGTTGTCTGAAGTACTTACATCTGTTTCGAGGTCGCGCGCGCACGAGGGGCTTGTTCCCTCGCTTGCTCTGTAAAACGCTAAGCAAAAAACGCTAATAGGCATTTCCCACGCAGGCTTAATCAAAGTTGACGTCGCGCGAATTTTGTCGGAAAGTGAAATCCGCTGTCAAAATAACTTAAATTACTTGGAACTACAGTAGGTTCCTTAGTTTAGTTTGGGAGTCGTAAACCACTGCATCAAGAAAGATCAGTAAAGTTTGATTCTAATCGCCTCTCCGGCAGAATAAGTTCTTCACCGTGCAAGTCCAATTTGAACCTTAAAGAAATTTGAGCGACTTATAAAGTAATATCGATTTTCAGAACCATTTGGAACATGCTTTGAAATTCACTTACAAAGTAATTTTTCTTTTTGCTCCAGTCAATGTCTTATCATGAGGTCATATTCGGAGCGTAACGAACTCAATCGGGGCAGCTAAATAGTAATGGGCCAATCACAGGTGTCGTTCACGACCAAATTAAGGAGTTTGACATGGACATTCGTAATCCAACCAAAGGAGGGATAATTTTTTTTTCCAATTTCAAAGGGACGGTAGCCCTAATTGGGTTCGGTTGCACTAATCAAATTCATTCCTTTTACACTTTCTCATTCCTCATTCCCCCAGCACCCACCCAGGTCATGAAAATATTCTTTCCCCGTCACCTTCAAATAAAGGAGCCAACTCCCTTTAAAATATCAATAATACAGGATAAAGGCGACGCGAGGTGATACATACTTCCGTGAGAAGCCAGCAAAATAAGACTGGTCTCCTTCGTTTTCCAAAATCATCTTTGTAAAGAGCGGAATTTGCAGGCGCGTGTCTTTGCTTTTGCTTTGTCAAGATTCTGATTTTGGTCTCGATGGTAAACGGATTTGGGCGTGTCTTGTAGCAAATAAAGTTGAAAGGCCAAGTTCAGAAATATCCTTTATTGGTCATGATCATGTACATAAGCTCTCTAAGGATGTTTCTGCACTTTCCCCCTTTTTCAACTGGTATAAAATTTTTATAGCGTCATCTCGTGTAAAGCCAAGGTTCATTGTAGGTTTCATGGTAAATAAGACCCTCGTACATAACCACGATTCCTGCACATTTTCTCGAGCTTAAAGTTTGAGTACTTTTTGAGTGGGTATAAAAGCATCGGCGATAATATGGAAGAATTTTAGACATATTGTTTCTTAGGTTCAAAAGGACTTGACATGTAGGATTATTTCTAAATTCGTAGATAGACGGACAAGATCTTGCTATAGCTTCTGCTTTCCGAGCGCTAGCCTTAATTGCTGTGGTTCACGACTACCTTTTAGGTGGTTGAGCGTTGTATTATTATTCACATGCTGACTAGGCCAGTTTGCATGCCATATCTTGATTTGTATGGTTTTTGTGATTTTAAGTAATTTTTTTTGTATTTACTCTCTGCCCGTGAGTGGCTTGATAGCAATCTATATTGCTGTTCTCTGAATGTAAGAGTGATTTAAATATGGTCAGGACTACGAGGTCCTACTACTACGCAGCATTACAGTGTATTTCATTGTTTTATTTTGTTGAATAGTACGTATTTAGCACTAGTTGATGATAGGTACTGTTTTGTGGATGTATTAAATAACATCATTCCAAGGATCTTTCCAGTTGTTAGTAAATCAATATTCGATGGTTTGAGGTAGAAATTAAAGCCTTTTAAAGAAATAAAAGTGCTCCAAATTTGGTAGAAATTATAAAAACATAAATTTGATGTGAAAATCCATGCAGTAGTTGAGTTTACATTTGTACCTGAAAGGTTATTCCTGTTGAGTTAAAAGTGGATGCAAGAGCAGCTTTCTGAGCTTGCACTATACTGACGCCTCTTATGATAAGCGTTAACATTCTAATTCAAGAAGATTTTACCTTTGATCTTTGTTTAATTTAAAAAAGTGTAACATTGAAATTTGGAATTGGGATTAAAGTGTACAAAATGAACTTGTTATCCCGTCTTTCAATCAACGTAAAGCGGTTAATGTGGTTCAAATGACGTGAGTTTTGGATGTCGTTTACTTATTAAAACAGGCAAGAGACCTTTCCCACGTTTCACTTCTGTGTAAACACACAATGAAACGAAATCGTAGCTTGCATGGACAATTTCATACAAATCACTTAGGCCCCATCCACACAAATCCGAATACTTTTTTGAGGACCAATAGAATGTTCGGATTGGTGTGAATAAGGCCTAAATTTTGTCACCAAGTCTCGAGTTGTTGCTGATTTGTTCATCAAGAACGCTGCAAAGGTCTATAACTAGGGTTATATCAGGGCTAGGGCGTGCCGCGTTTTCAAGTAGTCCTTGGTCTCTTTATCAAATCAGGGTAAGGGCGAAGTCTGATATAAATGTTCTTTTTTCTACTTATAAAAAGAAAAATTCGTTTTAACATGAAGGGTTCTCAGTTTGAAAGTATGGGTCAGTTTTGCATGAAGCTCGAAAATGACTTTCACCAAGTGATTCCATTCAACTGAAATTGGTTGCCTCATGTAAGACAGTCTTGGGTTCTGAGTTCCGGATTCTTTGTTAGTCCTTAGAAACTATCCCAGAAACAATTGCGGCACGCATTTCAGCTCCAGTTCCCTTCTCGTGTCTAAAGTGGCTGAGTCAGCAGATAACACATCCCCTCGAATACATATATTTTAAAATAATTATAGGTAATAGCATGATTTTTAGCGATATTTGGCATAAATACCATGAGTGATATTTCGAAATTGTCTGATATGTAATTTCACGAGCCGTTAGGCGAGTAAAATTTGAGACAATTTTGAAATATCTCTAGTGGTATTTATGCCAAATATCACCTACAAATCATGATATTATTTGTTTATACTACTACCCGCAAAAGTTTTGTAATTTTCACATGTAGGTATTTCAAATTAAGCTGAAATACCACTGCTCTAAGCCAATTAAATTGCAGAAATTTCTCACGTTGTAGTATAAAAGTAAACTGATCCTTACCAGGGGCACCCAACGTCAATTTTCGAAAAATATCTGTTCGGAAGACGATTTAAGATCTAGAATTTCGGAACATTTGTTGTAAAATTTCTTGCTTGCCTGCCTCTCCTACGAATTTCGAACATCTTACAAATGGTATAATTGCCCATTTTTAACGGATTTTGACCCTAAATTTTCGGGAGCCTTTTTTCTGGCTGAAATTTTCGAAAAGGTAAGTTTTGATCCCTATAATTTTCAGATCAATAGACTTTCAGCTAGGAAATCCGAACAGATGAAAAATTTTTAGGGGATAAAAATATGCCGGCCTACATCTACCGTTTAAATACTAAAATACGTTAAACAATGCTATGTTTCAGTGGTTTTGAACTATATTCTCGTTGGGTGCCCCTGCCTTACGGCAGGAAGAGTGATAAAAAAAAGTAAGAAAGGAAGCAAAAATAAAATGGTGTATTATATTTGTCCGATATTTCGGTTTGCAACACAAACCTTCAACGGTGGCTAAAAAAGAAAAATGAATACAGATTCAATATGAACGTTACATATGCGAGATTTGAATCCATAGCAAACAGAAACTGATAGGCTATTAACTGCTACTAAGAAAATAAATATCACTAATTGAGTTCATTTTGTCTATTATACCGCGCGGGGTTCTAAGCTTTTAGTTGTCAATGAGGTGAGCCTCGCGTGCCTTCTGACAAAGTCACGGTTGGTACGGATTAGTTCTAAGGGAAAAAAAGGACGTTATAGAGTGATCGGTTGATCAAAATGTTCAGAGACAGGAGGAGTAGAATTTGTAAGGTGGCCATACCACCATGAGGGGCTATAGCAAGTTCCCGGGCTAACTAGCGGAGGGCTAACTCACTACCCTGCCAAACCACTGGCTTCAATCAGTCTGACAGATACTGTAACTAAATGAACTGTGCAAGCTCATGGAGAAAGAGATCAGTGAAACTGACTTACCGGTAGACTATTAAAAAACCTGTCTGACTGCTGAGGTTCGATTGCCGAGTTCACCACTGTGAAATCACCAATCAGAAACACACAAACTGTCCATGCCTTCGGTATACACTTCCCCGAAAGGAACCTTTCTATTTTTAACAGCAGAGAAATTTGGCTAAAGGCTAATTTCGTGCGCTTTTCGGCGAAACGAGAAGGTGAGGCGAAAGTGAGTTTTCACGCAAGACATCAGTACAGTACATGCTCCATTTGAGCCATACATTCCCATTTTTGTCACGTGTCCATGAGTGTTACCAAGGCTCCTGAGTGTTAATTTATCGGGTTGTGTGGGGGTGGGGAGAGGGAGAGAGGGGGGGAGAAGGAATTCTTACGCCATTATAGTTTTCAAAAGAACACTGGAAATCTTTGTGACGGACTTGTATTTCTAAGGAGAGGGGGGTTATATTGGATAACTACTTACAACTAATTTCTGGTCATTTTTCCATATTTGGTTTGGTTGTCTTTGTGCTCAATTCTCTTCTGGAAATTGCGAAATTGCGAGACAACGGAGTCGTGAAAATTTGCCATTTTGTCCCTAAAGCCTCGAAGTGATATTAGGACTTTAATATATCGAACGTGGGCGGAATACTTCGCAGACATTGCACCTCTTCAATTCAAACAGCACAGCAAAACCGGAAACGGAAGCAAGCAGAGAAATCCCCAAACCACATAAATCAATAATAATAATAATAATAATAATAATAATAATAATAATAATAATAATAATAATAATAATAATAATAATAATAAAACCGAAAACCGAGGTTCTCGAAAAGAACCTGCAGTCGCTGTCACTTAAGTCGAAAAACTACAAATTTTAACTGAGAGCAAAAACCAGCAAACGATCCCTTTATTAGAGTTCTTCGAGACATTTTCCTGTAAATTCCAACTTTGCGAGATTGGATGGCGGTTTATGGTCTTCAAACGTAACATCAAAATTGATATCAGCTTCAATTCATCCTCCAAGGCGCAAGCAAGCCATGATCAATGGTTTTAGAGCGATTTTTCCCAAGCGCAGTTTTTAAGCCTCAAAGACACTAATTTGTAACAGCAACTATTATTCAGTATCAATGGATTCTATGAACACTCACCACCTTCCCATTCTCTCTCTTCACACCTCGCTTAGAAGTGCCGGATTAGACTGGCTTATCCTTTGTGGCCAGTTGTCAGTCATAAGGTCCAAGAAGGTGTTGAATGTCACCAATCGTGTTGTTATTTGAGATTGAGTTTTCCGGCCCTGTCAAAATGCGTCGCACCTCTGCATATTGTTTAGTTGTTCAAGCTGTAATAATTTGGCAAGCGCCAAATAACTCGTTCGCTGAACAACTCGCGTCTGCCTTTCATACTACAGCGTATTTAAGTCTAAATCACAAGATTTGCTCCAATAACTTACGTCGAAAGCACTGTACTATTGTAAGATCCAAGCTGCTGTTTGTAATCACTAATCAGCCCCGAGGACAGTAATGAAAGTGTTACTTCATAACAAGGAGCTATGGGAGAAGTTCAAGGAGCACCAGACCGAAATGATTGTTACAAAGGAGGGAAGGTATGCTTTGTATTCTCACACAGTCCATAAGTAAGAATATTACTACTTCAAAAACTCTTATTTACTTATTCAAAATCTGAAAGAACTCAAATCAGTCAAATCCAGAGCCGAAGTCACGCGCACTTTCGTATGGAAGTGGTCGAAGTGGGAAATTTGTGGCTAATGGTTACGCGGTTTCTTTCTAGTCGTACTTCAGTCTGTTAATCGCATCGAGGAGTGCTATTCACTTAATAAGCAAAGGTCAATGATTTTCAGTCGAAAAATTCAACTTAAATGAAAAAAACTCTCGTCTAAAGTCGGTTTTGTTGGACTGCCTCAAAGTCTTCATATGTTCAGTGATGACAGATGTGACCAAGGTTCAAAAACTGTCTGTTTGTCAGTCATTGTGACATCTGCCATCAATTCGCGTGATGTGCGAAAAATTATTCTCAAGCCATAAATAGCTTTGGTCACAAAACACACTTTTTACCCACGAAAAATGAAAACATTNGCCGGATTAGACTGGCTTATCCTTTGTGGCCAGTTGTCAGTCATAAGGTCCAAGAAGGTGTTGAATGTCACCAATCGTGTTGTTATTTGAGATTGAGTTTTCCGGCCCTGTCAAAATGCGTCGCACCTCTGCATATTGTTTAGTTGTTCAAGCTGTAATAATTTGGCAAGCGCCAAATAACTCGTTCGCTGAACAACTCGCGTCTGCCTTTCATACTACAGCGTATTTAAGTCTAAATCACAAGATTTGCTCCAATAACTTACGTCGAAAGCACTGTACTATTGTAAGATCCAAGCTGCTGTTTGTAATCACTAATCAGCCCCGAGGACAGTAATGAAAGTGTTACTTCATAACAAGGAGCTATGGGAGAAGTTCAAGGAGCACCAGACCGAAATGATTGTTACAAAGGAGGGAAGGTATGCTTTGTATTCTCACACGGTCCATAAGTAAGAATATTACTACTTCAAAAACTCTTATTTACTTATTCAAAATCTGAAAGAACTCAAATCAGTCAAATCCAGAGCCGAAGTCACGCGCACTTTCATATGGAAGTGGTCGAAGTGGGAAATTTGTGGCTAATGGTTACGCGGTTTCTTTCTAGTCGTACTTCAGTCTGTTAATCACATCGAGGAGTGCTATTCACTTAATAAGCAAAGGTCAATGATTTTCAGTCGAAAAATTCAACTTAAATGAAAAAAAACTCTCGTCTAAAGTCGGTTTTGTTGGACTGCCTCAAAGTCTTCATATGTTCAGTGATGACAGATGTGACCAAGGTTCAAAAACTGTCTGTTTGTCAGTCATTGTGACATCTGCCATCAATTCGCGTGATGTGCGAAAAATTATTCTCAAGCCATAAATAGCTTTGGTCACAAAACACACTTTTTACCCACGAAAAATGAAAACATTGTCGTTTATTGACCGCTGTCATTCATACATATGTGTACAAATTAAAAACGTTTACGTTCAATGAATGGCGTATTAAATGCACGACCTCGCTCCCGAGTCAAACACTTCAACATTTGATTTTGACCATTCCGGAATTTTAGTTCTCATTATTGATAACTAATGACGTGATGGCACATAAATAAACGACATCTGGTTTTGAAATCTTATAAAATTTGAGAAAAGGTGCTTTGTCTTCGACTTACGTGGATCGTCTGCGCGGTGATATCAATCAACAGACTGTTGGTTGGGGTGTTTATAAACCATCCCTTTTTTTAATCGTCGAGAAAGCTTGTTCCCAGAGCTTGATTTTCCTTGGTGCTCTAATAACTTTTTCTATAAGCGAGGAACGTGCGTCGAGAGTCTCATAGTCGTTTTGTCTGTTTTTAAAGTGTTAGACTCTGCTCGCAGGGTAGAACTTTTGCGTAGTGGCTAAAGAACATTATCCCTGTAAAGCTGCAGATGTGATAAATAACATAACTCGGTTACAACCAGTTTTGTGTGTGTATGTGTGTATGTGTGTGGGGGGTAGGGGTGGGGATTTAATTGTCCAAAGACAAATGAGTCTTGATTTACCAGATTACTGTGTGAAGCCTAGAAAGTTCCTCTCGACTTTATGGGTACTTAATCTCGCGAACTTGCCAGGGTGAGACAATATTTCGCGGGGGTGTGTTTGCGCAATTTAAGTACCATTAAGGTACCTCAAAAATTTCGCAACATTTTAACACTTTGTACACCACTCAGTTAAAATAAAGCATCGTTAACTGAGACTTTTGTCTCTTTCCTCTTTTTGTAAGCTTTTTATTAGCACTGTCTGCGTCAAGATGATAATCACTTTTCGTGCATTTAGCACAAGGTAGAGAAAACACTTTCTGGTCTTGTGATTATTTATGCTTAACGTTGATTAATCAATTCGAGTTTTGAGCAGGTCCAGTGAAGGTCCAGTCTAACTTATTTTCTACACATTTGCCTATCGAAATCGCGAAAGTAAAACTACACGAAATCAGTACTATCTCGCCAAATTCGCGAAATTAATCACAGGGGAATCTCGATATAACGAACCTCTATAGAACAAGGTTCTCGGAATAACGAACAATTTTCTTTACCCCAGTTATAGAAAAAGAAAAAAAGAACCTGGATATAATGAAACTTNTTTATGCTTAACGTTGATTAATCAATTCGAGTTTTGAGCAGGTCCAGTGAAGGTCCAGTTTAACTTATTTTCTACACATTTGCCTATCGAAATCGCGAAAGTAAAACTACACGAAATCAGTACTATCTCGCCAAATTCGCGAAATTAATCACAGGGGAATCTCGATATAACGAACCTCTATAGAACAAGGTTCTCGGAATAACGAACAATTTTCTTTACCCCAGTTATAGAAAAAGAAAAAAAGAACCTCGATATAATGAAACTTCGTTTTAGCATACGTGTTTTGCCAGTCCCTTGATCCTTCGTTATATCGAGGTTCCACTGCATCCCCGAAAAAAATGAAGCGGTATCTGAGTATTATATGAAGAATTATGGAAATCGAGGGGAGCATCTGCAGTTGATACCCATCAAGAGCGTTTCTTCCAAAACTTTTCTGAAGCTTTGCACTACAAAGCCACCGAGCTGCTACCCTTGCGTTACGTCATTCGTCCAAAAATTCATCCTTGCCTAACATTATCCTGACGTCATTCGTCCAATTATTTTCCTATTATTGGACAACTAACTTTGATCTTTAAAATTCTATCAACGGTAGTGCTTTATGAAAACTTAGCCGGGGGTTTAAGGCCAAACAGATTTGGCTAAATCATTTTGAAAGAATGATAATTGCTTGTCTCCTGTTTCAGGCGAATGTGTCCAATGGTTTCATTGACATTCGAAGATCTTAACCCAAATAAAGTGTACGCTGTAATGGTAGACTTCGTGTTTGCAGATAATTACAAATACTGCTTTGATACGTCCTTAAATTGTTGGGTCCCCTGGGGCGTGATTCATGAGGAAGCTTTTTCCAGAATGTACCTTCACCCGAAAACGCCTTCGACTGGTGCTATTCTTATGAAAAACGGGCTTGGTTTTGGAAAGCTGAAATTAACTAACAGTGAGAAGATGGCTTGGAGTTCTAATCAAGTAAGTTAATGCTGTCTAGAATAGCTTTCAAGCCAAGAGGAAAAGTTCTCAACATCAGTGGCTTCACAGCTCAGTTGGTTAGAGCATCGCACGGGTATCGCGAGGTCACGGGTTCAAATTCCCTTGAAGTCCTGAATTTTTTTCAGGCTTCTACAGGAATTTGAAGTCATATAATAAACATCTTATTAGCCTCGTTTTTTCGGTCCGTACTATAAATTAAGGATCCTTTTTTTTCCATCGATTTACCGGTCTCCTGCAGTTCTTCTATGATTTTTTTCATATACGTCTGTCGCAAAAGAAACAATACAACCAAACAATAAAGCCCCCAGGAGAACTCTATTGTTTGGTTCCTTTGATTCTTTTGTGATGTCAGTACCTGCAGAAAGACCCTAATTTTCCCTGTCAAATTCCTGTAGTTGGAACCTCAACCACGACCGCAACCGATTTTTGTGGTGACGGTTTTATAATTTTCAACTATTTTTAACCTCCTGTAGGCGACCAAGAGAGAATAATTGGACAGAGAGGGAATCTTATGGGAGTTTCACTTAAGTTATTTTTGAGAGGTTGTATTTAAACGGAAGCATAATTCCTGAGACGTCCGCAGAATTTTAAATGAGTTTGAAACGTCATCAAGTCCACTCGTGACTGCCACAAAGTTAAAAATGCAGAATAAAGAATGCAGAATATTGTAATGGCGACTGTTGAATTCAGTCTTGACAAAACACTGAATAAAAATTTGCGAACCTTTCCGGAAACCAATTTCCGATTAATTTCAAGCGTTAAAGTGGTGTAAAAATAACTTCGATGAAATCCACATATCTTTTCTATCCCGCCATTATTCTCTCTTGGGCGACCAATTGACGCTAGGGTGATCCTTATGTTCGCAAAATGAACTACGCTATTAAGAGTATGCGAAGACGATTTAGTGAGAACGTTGAACTACACATATCGTGACTTGCGGTTAGAAACTGCATGTAATAATATTTTTATCAAATTTAAGATGTCTCGGGACCCCTTCTCGAAAGAGAATCATATAGTTTAATTCTCCTAAGCGACCACCCCCTCCCCCCCCACCTCCCCGTAGGCGACCACTAAATGTTTGCATTTTGGGTGGTAACTTACGGGAGGTTGGACTGTATATCATTCATGAGTACCTTTTTTCTCAGGTGATACTATTGTACACGATGCGTCGTTATTTCCCGCGAATTCACGTGATAGAAAGTCAAGATGGTACTTCCTTCGACTACAAGTTAAGGACGGAGTTTTGCTTCCCTGAAACTGACTTTATTGCCGTGTCGGCATACAGAAATAAAGAGGTATGCTACTTTAATCCCACAATACCCTGCGAGTAGTGGTTTCTTCAGGCTGGACGTCCCGCTACGAAGGGAGAGAAACCACTTGCTTTTAGATCGAGCCGCCGTCCAGTGCCAAGAACGAGTAAATTAACTTTGAGCAGGTTAAACCTTACGCTTATAACTGCTGCCTTAACGCGAGCGTGCTGAGAATTTGCGGTTTTTTAGACTTTATTGCGATTATTCCTTACCACTCACTTTGTCAAATGTAGGCGAACCAAGCTGGAGTTGTATTCATAGGGAGCATATCCAGGCTCAGAAAGAGAAATAAAATTTCGTCGTTGCTTGTCTGCGTTCTCCACAAAACGCGAAATTAGGCATTTTCACGTCGTAGTCGTGCAAAAACGGTAACGAAAAGTACAAAAAAGTGTCATGCACGTTTCCTTATTAAACCTATTGTTTTCTTCTGACGTTCTCGTTGCCGTCGCGTCGTTGTATCTAAGAGTCCCTAATGTTTCTTTCAAAAGAAGGAAAAGTGATGTCATTTGACATTTTGTCGTAGGCCGCGTCACGTGAAAGCGCATGCTCGATGGAAAACCAAACCGTTGCTCGAGGTGGTTTCTCTCCCTTCTAAGCGTACGGTCCGGCCTGGAGAAACCACTACTTATTCACAGGATAATCCCACACCTGTGAAACGAAGTGATCTCTTTGGTCAGGGGAATCTTTGCTGATGTCAGGGTTTACTTTCTGTTTATAACCATACGGGTTGACCCATACCGTATACACAAATATGCTATTTCCGAATTATGTTTAGCCTTTAACGAAACTAATCTTTGTTTCGTTATTTTTCCCTAAGATTACTAGACTCAAAATAAACACCAATCCTTTTGCTACTGCTTTTAGAAAAAATGGAGTCCATGGGCAAGCCAAACGGTAAGTTCAGACACTAAAATTTTTTTAAATTACTTTGCTTACCAACGACTCTTCTCAACGGCAAGAGACATTCCATTTTTTTATTGTGGCAGTAGAGATTTTTTTTTTCGCAATGGTACGTTCGGTATATGGTACGATACATGTGGTATGTCTTTTTTCGCATTTTGATGGGTTTTTTGTGCACAATTAAGCAGAGGGTCCGAGGGCATGCTTCCCGAGAAAATCTGAACTTTCTGAATATCTCAAATGCTGGGTTTTGGCATTCTGGTAGGTTGTTTGCGTTGGGCGTTATCACAGATGTTGTCATTGCAAAACTTGAAAGAATTTTTTTGTTGACCCCCTCTTTTTACCCAATGTATTTTGCCTGCCCCCCGCCCTTGAAGCCATTTTTTTTGGCATGCCTCTCCCCCCTCAAATCCCATCAGCCCCCTCTACCTGATAAAAAATAAACGATCCCTAGTACGCGAGAATCGTCTGAAATATGTGACAATATGACCAAATTTTCAAAAANCATGGGCAAGCCAAACGGTAAGTTCAGACACTAAAATTTTTTTAAATTACTTTGCTTACCAACGACTCTTCTCAACGGCAAGAGACATTCCATTTTTTTATTGTGGCAGTAGAGATTTTTTTTTTCGCAATGGTACGTTCGGTATATGGTACGATACATGTGGTATGTCTTTTTTCGCATTTTGATGGGTTTTTTGTGCACAATTAAGCAGAGGGTCCGAGGGCATGCTTCCCGAGAAAATCTGAACTTTCTGAATATCTCAAATGCTGGGTTTTGGCATTCTGGTAGGTTGTTTGCGTTATCACAGATGTTGTCATTGCAAAACTTGAAAGAATTTTTTTGTTGACCCCCTCTTTTTACCCAATGTATTTTGCCTGCCCCCCACCCTTGAAGCCATTTTTTTTGGCATGCCTCTCCCCCCTCAAATCCCATCAGCCCCCTCTACCTGATAAAAAATAAACGATCCCTAGTACGCGAGAATCGTCTGAAATATGTGACAATATGACCACATTTTCAAAAAAGTATGCTCTTGCCAGGCAGATTCGCTCAAGCCTCACAAATTCACAAAAAATAACATGGCACAATAACAGAATCATCTGGCTTAGCTTTACATAGCGGGAAGAAGAGCTGAAAATAAATTGACTCGTGTTAAATTGTACGTGATTTTTTCTTTCCTGTGATAGGCGCCGCATGGAGTTTAGGAGCGGTTTGAATAACTGGAACAGCGACTTGAACGATGATGATACAAGCCTCGAAGAGAGTTCCAACAACGGCGACGATCCTGCAAACGGGCCTGAGCCAGCTGGCCCTGTTCAAAATTATGACAAACGAGAGTTGGATGGAATACGTGCAGCGATACCTTTCCTAAAAGGTACCACACATGACTAGGCAATAAATACCTCTTTAATATTAGCCGAGTTTTTGGTCCGTATTGTAAATTACAGACCGATAAATCGATGGAAAAAAACGAGTATCGGTAATTTACAGTACTGACCGAAAGAGCGAGGCTAATAAGATGTTTATTATATGGCTTCCTGTTTTGGGGACCGGAAACAATTGCAGGACAAGTAGCCTGGGTAGTTGGCGGTTTTTTTAGTGTGTCTTTGTTTTGTGGTTCGCAAAGCGCGAAAGATGAACCAAGGGCAGATCAGAAAATGTTGGTTCAGCTTTCGCGCGGCTGAATCTCTTACTTTACGAAAGAAAAAACACACCAAAAAAAAGAAAAAAAAACCGCCCGCACGTTACGCAGGCTACAGGACAAGCGATTTGGCAGTCATTTGACAGGCGTCAGAAAATGCAAGTTTTTGCAGATGCAACATGTTGAAAAAGTTTCTTCGGTCAAAACTAAGAGCTCTGTAAGTATTCGCTTGCCAATGTGACACTGGATTCTTTTGAAAACCGGCCATTGAGTCTGGCTCGAAGTCGCTTCCTTCTTTCGTTCGTTGGTCTTTGAAAAAAAAGTTCAAATGGCAAAAAGCTTGTTAAGGTGATTATAGCTGCAGGTATGTTGAAGGAATCGCTTTTTTCCCTTAGGCAAAAACGTCTCGAATCTCTGCCAGTAGATGTTCGTCTTCTTAACTTTGTACTGTAATAAAATTTTTCAAGTAACTCATTGTAATCCTCTTCTTCGTTAAGATTACGATTTAGTTTCTTCATCGTTTTCGTTCACAACTAAACGCAGGTTAAAATGTTGAAGGACGAAGTCAACATCCGAGTCCGCCTCAAGGTTGACACACATCTTAAAACTTTCTTTAACCTTTTTTTCGAGATAAAGAGATTTAGAGCTGCAAAGTGAGCATTTGATTTTGAAATTTTGGTGCGTGTAGCAAGTCACGGACCGCAAATTGACCAATCGCATGGCGAAGACAGACTTAGCCACATAATAATTAACAATTATTTCTCTAGCACGAATGGGCTCTGAGTCAATAGCCCATGAGGCCGAAGGCTGAATGGGCTATTGATTCAGAGTCCATGAGGGCGAGAGGAATAATTGTTTTAGTAAAATCCAACTAGTTGATCAAAAATATCGAGAATAAAAAACTTTTAGCTAGTTAAAGCTTGACTTTAATCCTTTTCTGCCGCCAAAAAACCCGCGCTCTTCGCTGCTAGTGGGCTATAACTTGTAGCCTAGTAGTAGCTCAACCAATCAGAACGCAGCATTTATGATAGACCACTGGTTGGATTTTACTAATAGCTGTTATTCTCCAGACTCCCTTCAGTAAATCGGTGTATCTTTCAGTATGTCTGTCAGTGAGTCGTTCACTTAGTTTTTCAGTTCTTCCAGTAGTCGACTAGTTCGTTTGCCAGTCAATCAGCTTGTAAGTCAGCTAACCAGTGACTGACGGTCAGCCAGTTTTTAGGCCACTTAGTTATTTACTGAGTCTAGTAGTCAGTCAGTCAACCAGTCAGCCATCCATCCATCCAGCCAGCCAGCCAGCCAGCCAGCAAGTCATTCACTTGGTCAATCAATCTGTCAGTTAACTATTCATCCATTCATTCATCCTTCCAGCCAGCCAGTCAATCAGTCAGTCAGTCAGTTAGTCAGTCAGTCATTCAGCAGCCCGCTTTTCAGTCAGTCAGTCAACACGTCCGCCTGTCATTCAGACATTCAGTCGATCATTCAGTCCGTCAGCCATCTCATCCAGCCAGCCAGCCAGCCGGTCAGTCAGTCAGTGAGTGTGAGTCAGCACGTCCACCTGTCAGTCAGGCATTCAGTCGATCGGTCAGTCCGTCAGCCATCTCAGCAAGCCAGTCAGTCAGTCAGTCAGTCAGTCAGCGAGTCAGTACGTCCGCCTGTCATTCAGGCATTCAGTCGATCAGTCAGTCAGTGAGCCATCTCAGCCAGCCAGTCAGTCAGTCAGTGAGTTAGTCAGTCAGCAGCCCGCTTGTTTGTCAGTCTGTCGTTTTGTTGTTACTTCGTCAGTCATCCAGCGAGTCACTTCGTCACTCGCTGTTATGACAGTTAATCCCTCTTTGGTTGTTGTGCCTTTGATTTCATCGTACATGCATAATGTTCGCAACTATGTTCTTTGACTGTTTTTTTAATCATTTTTAATAAATGTAGATCGACTACGAAGAGACGTGTCATTCTTCGTTTACAATCCTATTTACAATGGGATGCCTAGCCAGGAAAAAGTGTCAAACACAACACAGGTAATGGAAAATCAACCCACGGAACAAATGCCTTATAGTAGTGAAAGAGAGGCGGAGTTAACTTGCGAAGAATCCACAGAATGGATGTGGGGGTTTGACGAGCAAATGTCACTGAGATACTCCCCAGAGCGTCCTGAATTGGAAGCCTTTCTCCCTCAAAAGATAGACAATCTTAAAGGTGCAGATGAGGTGAACAATGAACCAATACAGAACAGCTGCGATGGTGATGCCAAGAAGAATGGAGATGGCGTCAATGTCTTTGTCCAAAGTACAGTCAGCAGAAGAAAAAAGTATCATCCGAGAAAACTGCAAAGGACGGACGACGTTACTCCAGCAGACGGTGGCTCTTCAGCCAACGAAAAAAGGATTCAACCAAACGTCGACGTTCCGCCTGTTACTGAAGCAACAGAAGCAGACGTACTGCAAGCTCATTTACAAGACAGCTACTGTAATGAAGATGATAAGGAAGAACAACTGCAGCCAGAAGTTGGCACCTCCCCGGATTGTCCAGAGGTTACATTGCCTGTGCTAGAAGCTGATAAGACACCTTGTTCTCAGGACAGCCAGTCAGTTCCTCAGCCATCTCAGAATCAAAACTTACATCTGTCGTCGTCTGGAGCAATAGCAGGTGTATCAGTTTCAAGTCAGGATGGTCCATATCTCCTGCTTGGAGAATCTGACGAGTCGTGTGAGAACGTGCCTTCTAATGCTCCTTCTTCAAAGCCAGAGAAAACAGTCGAGTCTTCTCTAACAGCACTGATTCAGATGTGCTCCGAGGCGGGCGAATCATCCCTTCCGGGGCCAAATCAGGACCAGAGGTGTATATCAACTGATGTATCCACCTTTTGCCAGGTTTATTTACCGCAAGAATCCATATCATCGTCATCACCGTCCTTTTGCACCACTGTAGCAATAGGCATTCAATCAAGCAGACCTTCTAGTTATTCAAGTGCTGTCAACCTAGCAACAATTGCATCTGAAGTCGAAGAGAGAGTAATGCCTTCTTATACATCAAGTGAACTCTCGACATCAGTAACCACAATGTCATCTTCCTTGCCGTTACCCCCACCAAAGTCAACTGCTGCATTCATTGATAATAATACGCTTCTTATCAGAAGCGAGGGTTTAGAGACGGTTTCAACAATCAATGGTCTATCCCAAGCTACGACTGCGATTGAAAGCATTGGTGACCAATCTCAATCCCTCTCAATTACCGACCGCGTTTGCTCGCCTGAGATTTCCAGAGCGCCAGCTTTGGGAAACAAACATCCAGAATATCGGCCCATTGCCCCTGCTCCACATCCGTCAAATTTAAGTCCCGACGTGCCTTCAGGGCATGTTTTTGAGGACAACGAATATTACCATGACAATGGATCTTATCCAATAATTATAGACAGTTTTTCACTGAACGACAGTATTCAATATTCCTTTGCTAAACAGCCTCAAGTCAATCTGTCATACTATCCGACTCCCCAACTGTATCAAACAGGACAAGCAAGTCATAACGTTCTCAATCCCATTAATAGCACCGTGGTAAAACGCAGTCTTCCTCTAGAGAAATTCTACTCGTTTCCCGCACCAAACAGTGGAGACAAACATCAAGTTGTTCGCTCGCGATTTCAAGCAGGCCGTCACTACAAGACAACTCGGACTAACTTCAGCCGTCTGAGCCTGGAACCACTGTGTAGTGTAATTTATCCGCTGACAAGTTGTTCACGTCCGGTAACACATCAAAGATATATTCACCCTCTGGCGGAGGATGCATCCTGTTTTTCCAGAACGCGGGAATTGGGAGCTGGCTAAATATCACCTATCAACCGCTGGTCTCATGCACCACAGACGCATGCGTTTTGTCTAAAAGCCGCGAGTGTTTGAACAAAAGTTGCCAGTGAACTTCGGCCCTAGCGGAACTATAAACAAATCTGTCATGTGCATCTTGACTCATGTATTTTCATGAAACAACAAGAATTCTTCATCGATCAACTTCAGACGCCATGTCTTTTTCTTCTCGACTGAAGTCTTCCTTGAACATCTTGACTGGCGTTCAGTCTCCGTCGTTGACTTATTATTTTTTAAAATGAGAATTAGGGACAAAGTTACTGTTGAGTGTAGTCAGCACTGCGTTTTCGTTTTCGAGACACAGTGTGTAATTAAAGCGAACACAGACGTGTTTCAGGACATAGAAGATCATTGTTTAAATAATAAACCTCAGCTCTTTATTTTCTTGAATGGTCCATCTACTATATTGAAATGCCTTGCCTTCTACAAAATATGTCTCAAGTAGCGACAATTCGTACTTTGAGAGGTCAGCCGTCGTAGCTGGCAGTTTCGGTTGATTGCAGTAAAAAAACCTCCACGAGGCGAATTTCCCAAAAGGACAAGCGTAAGTCACGGGCCTCGAATGACGATTCGTTAACCGCGCCAAGAGAAACAGCTATCTACGTACCCAGGTTATCCGTGGTTTAATTGGCTAATCGCGGAGTAATAATCAATACATGCCTCTTCATTTCCTGTTAAACCTTTTTTTAGGCATATCTTTTCTGCGATCGAAAAACTGAAACTATTTCTGTAGGACGAGGTAAATTAGGTATTAGGTAAGGAGTACTCGAACAGGGCGAATTATACGCACGCGTCGAAACGTAAACCGTGCAGTGGACGTTTTTTGACGTTGTCGTTGTCCTCGTCGTCGTTGTTGCTTAAGGATCCTATTTACACTATAATAAAAATAATAATAATAAAATTTATAACGCGCCTTTTCCATGCAAATATGATCAAAAGCGCATGACAACACCTAAATGTTAAAAGAAAATAAAAGCTAAAATACACACCTGCGGGCGTGGAGATAAAGAGTTCCTTTTTTTTTGGAGCTATCCGAAATGAACAAAAATTGACTCATTTAAATCTCCTCCAATAACATCCAACACCATTTAACAAAGTTTACCTGCTACATCCTCCAACGATTGGTGAAGTTGGACAAACCCTATTCCACAGTGCATAATTAAAGTGCATAACTATATGGGTGACATTTACCCTAGGGTATCCCTTCCGCGGAGCGAAGACTAAAATGATGACCTAGATAAATAAGGCCATGTTTCAGTAGCCGGCCGCATTCGCGTTTTGGTGATTTGACATTGCTGTACCATCAAGTTTTGTTTCGTCAGGCTATAGCTTAAGCGAGGAAAAATATTTTAACACTTTTAAAACTGAAGTCAATGTTTATCTCAAGTTTTTGTGATGACGTTAGATTTTTGGAAATCAGAAGGAAGATGTTTTGGTCATGATCTGGCACTTGTAATCTGTTTGCTAGTCTTCTTAAGAGAGGTTTTTCTAAAATTTTATCCAACAATTCTTAACAAAACTCATTACTTAGTGAAGATCCTCTGTCTGTCACTCTCTCAAGCTGCCGGATGGGTAATTGAGAATTTGGAAGATATGTAAATTACTATACATTACGATTGGCTTACAGAATACTCCCCGTTAAATAATTTCAAGGTTGGAGTATTTTGTGCTACATATATTGATATGACACTGATATTTCGAAGGGTCGATTAATTGTCACCGAAAGGAAGGAAGGAAGGAAGGAAAAGAGAAAAGTTGCTACGTGATGTATGGTGTGCCATTTTGTGTATTGTATTAACCGCACATATCATATCCTCTTCAAATGGGAGATCATTTTTGCGTTCAACCCACAATATCGATCAAAACTAGTTCAAAAAGAGCTCTTTTGCACTTCAAATACTAAAACTGACATCGTTTATGATGGTTCCTATTTATATTCACGACTAAGAGACGGGAATGGGTGTGCAGCTCGAACTGTGGAGCCTGAGTGTTTAATGCCGTCCAAATAAGATACAAAGTTCAACTAAAGAATGGTATACAAATATTCCTAAATAAAGTCACTCAGGCTAAACTATTCACGTCCGCCGCCTGATAAGAAAACCCAAAAACCCAATGGGAAAAATTTGGGAACGTATTCCCCAACTGATGCGGTCGCACAACCTCTGGGGGTTAAAGGTAAAAAATCAATCGATAGATGAATAAAGTAAGATATAAAAATAAAAGTTGATAAATACATTACAACTGTCAAAACCTTATTTACCTAATAACAATAGAGTCCATTAACGCCTTAGCGGCTCACGTGCGTTCATACCAATAGGAAAGTATTTACATTCTCTGTCACTGCCACTACGTTTAGGTCCGCAGAATGTAAATACATTTAATCATAGTTATTAGAGGAGACTGGTTTTGAAAAGCGGCAAACATCAATGATAAAAGCAACAGTGCTGCACTTTATGTTGGAAGCACCCTGAAAGTGCACAATCCTTTGTTTTCTGTTGGCAAATTGTTACGGAATAAATTAATGGAACGTTTTTATTGGTCAATACAATCAAAATGATAGGAATTCTTTTGAACGTTGTGCACTTTCAGGTCCACAAAAACATATAACAAAGGAGTCTGACGGGTTTCATAACCATTCCACTCAATTAACTATGATTTAATTGAGGTCATTGAGTAGAAAATTTGCCTTAAGTTTATCATTTGTCGAACTAGAACGCTGGACAACCAACCTAGTGGCGGATCCAGACTTTCAGATAAGGAGGGTGGGGAGGGGGGGAGGGGCGGTCTCAAGGACATTTTTCGGTCCTTCAGGCCTCAGTTTGGTCTAAAAATAAGGGGGGAGGGGAGGGGGGGCGGCGGGACCCCCGGGCCCCTGACCTGGATCCACCACTGCAACTATTCTTTTTTAGTAGTTGCTTTTGTGAAGAAAAGCGAATGCAAAGATTTGTGCTTCCCAACTTTGACACCATATCGCTAAAGAAAAGTACAAGTCTGAAGTCGAAAATCACGAAAAAAAAACTTTTTTCCTCCGAAAAATGGCGTTTGTGAGGTCGAAATTGTCTTCATTTGTTTATCTTCTAAACCTCTTTGTTATGTCCTTAATAACATCTGTTGTCATGCTCCTTAAGAGACTAACTAACAATTATTCCTCGAGCCCGAATGGGTTCTGAGTCAATAGCCCATGAGGCCGAAGACCGGATGAGCTATTGACTCAGAGGCCATGAGGGCGAGAGGAATAATTGTTTTAGTAAAATCCAACTAGTTGGTCAAAAATGTCGAGAATAGAAAAAAATTTAGCCACTTAAAGCTAGACTTTAATCCTTTTTTGCCGCCAAAAAGCCGGCGCTTTTCGCTACTAGTGGGCTATAACATATAGCCTAGTAGTTGCTCAACCGATCAGAACGCAGCATTGATAATAGACCACTAGTTGGATTTTACTAAAAAGAAGTATCGTTCGTGGGGAGCAAGGGTGGCGTAGTGGTGAGAGCACTCTTCTCCCACCAATGTGGCCCGGGTTCGAATCCTGGCGTTGACGCCGTATGTGGGTTGACTTTGTTGTTGGTTCTCTCTCTTGCTCCGAGAGGCTTTTCTCCGGGTACTCCGGCTTTCCCCTCTCCTTAAAAACCAACATTTCCAAACTTCAATTCGATCTGGAGCGCACGGACACGTTTCAACGAATTGAGTGCTCCATGGGTAAACAAATTACAAATAATGATAAATTACCCAGAAAGTTCTTTTAGTGTTAGGGTCACTCAACAACTAGGCCTCTGGTCAAACAAATCTTTGCCGAACCCCCCACCCACACGTCCACTACTTTAAGCGTTTCTCTTTTAAGGAAGGCCGAAATACATGAAATATGTAGCCTGCGCGTCGTTCTAAAAAGGTGTACCTTACGAGAATGAATTTTCCTTCAACATACGTGAGTTGAGAAAGGTCTTTTTATTGAGGGGCAGGCCGGAATCTAAGCGACAATCAACAACAAACAGTTTTAAAAAGCAAGTACAGAAGGATTACTTTACACGCTATATCGACCTTAGATTTATTTCAGTCATTCAGTCAAATTTACAAAAAGCGTGGAACGAGGTGTTAACGCCACTCTCTTCAAAACCGAGCTCTCTAATTAAAATTCAAAGCTGAGGTTAAGAAATGATGCAATACATTATTTTGACTAACCGAAGTACTTTCCTTTTCTATGCATGTGGAATTTCACCTCATAAATGGAACGGAAAGGACGGTACGTCTAATATAGCATCGGTTTTCTTTCTTGTCTCTGAGTAGCCTTTGTTATCAAGTTGTACTTCTAAAAAAATTGTCAAAATCTCGGCAGAAAAAATAAGGTAAAAAACGTTGAAATGCTATGAAACATTTATGCTGCTAGGTAACTGATTAGACTAATTCATTTCATGCAAAAAAAAAGTAAAGCCCATAAATCTTTGGCTTTTACGTTGTCTTAAGTGATTTTCTTGACCTGGCTTTCGGACAGATCAACTGATTTATACCAGAACAGCAAATTAATATTGTTCACATTTCTAGGATTCTTATATCAAAATATACTTAGTTGTATAGCTCACAAGACAGACGGATGCACATGTAAATGTCAGCGCGTCCTTACACCGAATCAGTAGTGATGGCGGTCAGCTAAACTTTGTATGGGAAGAAAAAAACGTCATTTTTGATCACTTGTCAGTTTTGGAGCCCAATTGAAGAATCGACGCTTTAACGTTCACCAAGCAACTCCGCCAACAAAGTCTGGTGTTGTGAGTATATTTGGCGTCCCTTTTTTCCATGATAACTTACTTTTAAATGAAAAATATCAGACAAGTTCTCACCATTGTTTTGCCTGATTTCGTGAGTTGTGTAAGCAATCACGATCCAATCAACTGCCGGTAGTAACGACAAGTTAGCAGGAAAAATGTGAGCTCAGAAGTTTTGACAACAGTCAAAATATAAGATTCTTGTTTTTCTTTGGCAATGTCAAATTTCAAAAATCGAACAGCTAGATGGGTACTTTTAAAGAAGAGTTTTCTGAAATCAGCCTTTGCAAAACGTAGAGGATCAGGTTAGTTCAGACTTTTACGTTCTCTTCTTCAGACTCAAAGAAAATTTCAAAGCAAAAATCAATGGTCCAACGCCAGTGAACTTTTCGATCGTAATTAAACTGTCTCAGATGACTACAGGAAACTATATATTGCTCTTCAACTTCGGTGATTAAGTATGACCAAATTAATTTTCGTTATCAGGTCTTGTTTAGGAACGGACATAACTTACATGCCACTCAGTC